AGCTGCTGATACAGTTCTACAGAGGAATCATCCAGTCTGTTCTCTGGGCCTCCATCACTGGTTTGGCTCAGCAACCAAACAGGACAAGTATAGACTTCAGCAGACAGTGAGGACTGCAGAAAAGGTCATTGGTGTGAGCCTGTCCTCCATGGAGGACCTGTACACCTCACGGGTCAGAAGGAGGGTGGAGAGGATCACTGCTGACCCCTCACACCCTGGACACAATCTGTTTGAACTCCTCCCCTCTGGACGGCGTTACAGGTCACTGTGCACTAAGACAACCAGGCACAGGGACAGTTTCTTCCCCCAGGCTGTCAATCTGATGAACACTTAACCCACGACAGTATGACTGGACAATAACCCTCAGTGCAATACCTGTAAATATACATTGTACAGATTATACAGACTCATACAGGTCTCTAGTACTCTGTTTTAAGTACTCTATTTTTATCCCTAATTATCTCATTTCAATGAGCATTACCTTGTCTGCATTGTTTACTGTCTATTTATACCGCTTTTTCTGCATTGTTTGCACTGTTTGTTGATGTTAATACTGTTATTTTGTTATATTACACAGCCTTATGCTGGTCTACTGTTTGCACATTGAGAGCCGATGTACCCGAGTCAAATTCCTCGTGTGTCCAACAAACCTGGCCACTAAACTGATTCTATGGACACACTGTACACACAGCACTTTCGTAAAAGGGCAGAGAACATACTCAGGGATCCACGCCACCCAGCCCACTCTCTGCTCAGACACAAAAACTGCACCTACAGCCTCAGGCACAGCAGGGCGGACAGTATCATCACACACAGAACAAGACTTTACAACAGCCTTTTCCCTGCCGCAGTAAGACTGATAGCAAATATGAAAATGTGAGAAATGTGAGAATATATGTGCAATAATACCTTACTAGACGTGCAATAATACAAAAATGTTCCACACGGTATTTTTGTAAGAGCATCTCATCAACAGTGTTCTCTTGTGGGACCTGAATAACAACAGGACATTCTCTACCAAGCAATGGAAACGAGCCTGAATATAAACTGTGTTTTAGTATGTTATAACCCCTCACTACCTCACCAAGCGCAATGACACAACTCCACCATGTGAATTACTGTTTGCTGTCTGTTTATACTGCTTATTTTGTTGATATTATATAAGCAGCCTTATGCTGGTTTACTGTTTGCACATTGAGAGCCGATGTACCAGAGTCAAATTCCTCATGTGTCCGTCACACCTGGCCAATAAAGCTGATTCTGATTTTGATTAAATGTCTAAGAAGGCCAGCATTGTTATTTTAAATCTGTCCACAGCTGTGTCTCCATGTTTAACATGCTGCTGTGTCTGTCTGTGTCTCTCTTCGATGGACAGGAATGGTCTTGGACCCTCTAAAGAAGGAGAAGCTCAATACTCTGTGGTTCATTGCACTGGTTACATCAAAGCCTGGCCCCCTGCAGGTTTGTGCACATCCTTATTCGATGCTCTTGTCACTGTCCCTGACAATGTCATGTCACTGCATGAGTTTCTGGTCTGGTCTGACCTAAAGCAGCTGTAGGCTCTGCACAGCTCTATATCAGCAGCTGGATTCAACCTCAGATTGACAAAAGCCTATGTGGTTCTGGTATCCTATCTAGGGTGTGTGAGTGGAGCGGCCTGCTTCAGAGCAGCTGTTTTGAAATGATGTTCTCCTTTGATTGATGTTGATGTGCCTGTGTTCAGATACAGTATGCTGATTCAGCATCCATACCTTGTTTTCCTGGTCTTTATTGTATGATGCTGACTCAGCATCCATACCTTGTTTTCCTGGTCTTTATTATTATTGTATGGATGCTGATTCAGCATCCATATTGTGTTTTCAAATCATTTCTTTATTACTATTGTATGGATGCTGATTCAGCATCCATATTGTGTTTTCGAATTATTTCTTTATTGTGTGGATGCGTATGCATCCACACTATGTTATCCGGTTCTTTATTGTGTGGATGCGTATGCATGCCATTGAGGTATCACACTGTGTATCTCCTTAGGACATGTGTGCTTGTATTTTTATTGTCTGTAACATTTATACTTTTTAAGATATTCAGCTTTTTTTACAGAAATTTCCCCATTGGAAATGAATGGGGCAAAATTGGAAGCTTAATATCTCCGGAATAGCTTGGGCTAGAAGTGCCATTTCAACTTTATTCAACTCATGAGACATTCAGCTACTAATGGTGCAAAAATTGTCTTGATATCTGTTATGGTTTTTTTTATAATCGACATTTATATTTGTCCATAGACAATGATGCATGGGTGCAATGCCATTGGTAGCTATGCGTCACGTGACTCCCCCGGTCTCGGAGCTGTTGCTATGCTTTTGCTCTTCCTCTTACCACTTTTGTGCTGCTATTATGCCATTATTAAGCATTATACACATATAATAGATGACAATCGTAGAGAAAATTGGCACCAATTCAGCTGTCAGTGTTACTGAGATGGGATGAATGGTATTTCCGTAAGTCGCTCATTCCAGCGCATACGTCTCACTGCTCCATAGACTTACAGTCAATACAGACGATCCGCTGAAGCAAAACGTCGGCATATTTGTAAATCGTAACTGTTCCTTCATTTTGTTTAGTTTTGACATAATACAACTATGCAATAGCACAACAAAGTGCTGTAT